AGGGGAGGGGGGATAGTAGGGGATAGGAAAGGTAGCAGAATACAACAATTACTAATAGGGCATTATGTAAAATTGTGGATGTGTAACCGACGTCATTCTGCAATCTGCATTTGGGGTAAAATTGTTGTGAACAACCAATAAAAAAAGATTAAAGATAAAAAAAAATAAAAGAGGTTTCAAGAAGCAAAAACAAACAAACAAACAAAAAAAACATGTGATAAGGTGATAAGTACTTAAGACAAAAGACCATGTAGAATTAAAAAAGGGGCACAGGATGTGAGCTGGGAAGTTAGGACAAGCTGCAATGTTATATAGAGGCCAAGATAGAGCCTTACTGCCAATATGAGCAAGGTTCAAAGGAAGTAGGTGTTTAGCCAGGGGTCTATCTGGGGGGGGGGCGGCAGAATTTAACACTGAGGGAGCACCTGGTATTAAACCTTTGAGTTAGAAATATTGTTGATTATTCAGGGTATAATGAGGCCATCATGGTTGGTATGAGGAGTGAGGGGAGAATGGTAAGAAGTAGCAATGCTGGAATAAGGAGATGGTCCTGTATTAACACCACTCACAGGTGTCAGGATGAGGGCATTAGGAGTGGACACCTTGGCTGGCACAAGAGCCCTGGATGTTGATGGGCTGGAAGTTGAAAAGGCAGAGGGCAGACAACATGGTGATACTTGCATTTGACCAGATAGTTTTTGGGGTTGAGTGTGTGGGCCTGAGGGTCTCAGATGGTGGAGTTTGGGGAGAAGTGTTGGAGAGGAAGGCAGTTACCAGGTCAGTAAAGGCTTTGTGTGCTGTGTTATGGAGTTTGGATGTAGAGTATGGGGAATCCTAAACAGAGCCATGCTGGGAATGCTCATGTTGGCAGTTGTGAATGGATGGATGGGAGATGAGCAAGGAGGCCTGGAGTGCAGTTATGGTGTGGAGAGAATGAGTGCCTGACCTGAGGCATGGCAGTGGGGTGGGGGAGGAGGGGTCAGACAGGTTTAGAAACCAGATTCAACTGAATAGACTTGTGAGCACAAAATTTGGAGGGGGAAGAAAATACTCGAGAGACTTCCAGAATTTTATTTAAAACATTTGTTGCTTCATGGCAGGACTATTGATAATTATGTGTCACTTCTACTGCTGTAATAATGCTGTGTAACAAACAGCCACAATTTCAGGTATGTTTGGCAATAAAAATGTATTTAATTTAGGCACTAACCAAATTCAACTATTGGGGTTGATCTTGCCTAATAATCACCTGGGTTTAGTTATGCATACTTGGTTATGTATCAGAAATATAATTAAAAACAAAATCTCCCATACTAGGAGAAAATACTTTTAATATTGAATAAGCATCAAACCAGAATGATACATATCATGCATGATCTGGTAAGGAATTACATGACCAGAATGGAATTTCATCTTTCTTTTTTTAGCCTTTATACTTGTTTTCAAGATGAACAATAAGTAATTCTCTACTAAGGGGGCTCAAAGCAATTTGTTCTGCATATGTCATTCTAAATTTACCTGATAGTTTGGGAGACCATCTCTATCATATAACAGGCTTTATCTGGAAGAAGAATAAACTCCTCCAGCTTTATGACATGAGGTGGTTTTACAACTTGGAACAAGGTGCCCACAGAAGTTTGACTCCTACATTTGCACAGAAAAGGTGCCAAAGGGTGGTACCTTCCCTGATGTTTACATTTCAAATAAATGATTCCCAGCTCCTTGAGAAAGACATTCCTGAGCTACAAAGCTGGCAAAATCCTAGCCAATTTTCAAAATCATGTGTAAACATTTCAAAAGAGGAGAAAGTGCCATTGTGTAACTGCAGTTTCTCAAAGCAAATGCTAGAAGAAAAAGAGAAGAATCTTCTTTTATTCAGCAGGGAGAATTGAGATTTTCACTTTTAATTTTCATTTGTTCTTAAGTCAGCTGAAACATTCACCAGGTGCACCTTGGTTAAGTGTGCTTATGTTTCAGGTGGTCATTTGACTGAACTAGGGCAGCTGAAGCAGGTGGACCAGGCAATGTCACATGAGTCCATCCTCCACTGGGTAGCCCAGGATTGTCCTCCTGTGGAAATGGCGAGGTCCAAGTGCTTTTCAAACCTCTGCAGTCACATTAGCTAAATTTTCATTGCCAATTTGAATCCCATGACTGGTCCCAGAGGCAAAAGGTAAAGGCAGTAAAAGTGGAAGTGGAAGAACTGGCTATAAATAAGGGTGAAGAATTGGGATATTTTAATAATCATTTTATCACAAGTGGTCCAAATTATGAAGCCAGTTTTGGAGTTTTGAGTTTGAAATATTTGTGAGGAAACCTGGTAAAGATAACTCATGGGAACATGGGTGTAGGGGAAGAGAATTCAGGAAACTAGGTAGTCATGCAATACAATTTTGGAAGTGATATACACAGAGAGGCAGATGTCCCAGGAGAGTGTGTGAGGTGAGAAGACAGATTCATGGAGGGAGCCTTGGGACCAAATTCTTTGTGTTGCCTCTGACCTCACAGTTTGGGAGAAGAGCCCACTGCCCTGTGTGGGTCTGCTCCTTGATTTAATTCCCTCTGGTAGGTGACCCTTCTGATAGAACCCCTAGAATTCAACATGGAAAACCTTCCCCCTGATGTTGTATAATATCTAGGCAACTCTGGGGTCTCAGGGCCCAAGGTGGCCTCCTGGGGCTCCACAGCTTCCTTCCCACAGGGAAGGGGTCTGACCCCCAAGTGCACATAGAAGGGCCAGAAGAGGATGGAGTGTGTGTGGTGTGCAAAGCCTCAGGATGGTTCCCAAAGCCCCAGGTGCAGTGGAGAGACCTCAGTGGAAACAAGTTCCCAGCGCTTTCTGAGGCCCACACCCAAGACAGTGAGGAGCTGTTTAGTGTGGAGGCCACTCTGGTGGTGAGAGACAGTTCTGTGGGGAATGTGACCTGCTCTGTCCTCAACCCTGTCCTGGGCCAGGAGAAGGCCATGGCTATTTACATCCCAGGTCAGTGCTGCTTCCCACTCCCAGCAGAGCTGTGGGGAGGGCTGGCCTCTCTGAGTGTGCTGGCTCTCCTGGGTGTGCCCCTGACCTGCTGTCTGCCTGGGCCACAGAGCCCTTCTTCCCTCAGGCTTCTCCCTGGAAGCCAGCATTTGCTGTGATCCTGACCATGCTGGGGCTTCTACTCTTGGGGGCTAGCTATTTAATCAGAATAGAACATTCCAGAAGAATGCAGATGAGGCAGGAAAAGGAGCATCTGTGGCAGCTTAAGGAGGAGGAACAGCAGGCAAAGGAAGAGGTGCTGAAGGCCATTGGTAAGACCCCACAGGGCAAGTGCAGACCTGGTGGTGAGGGACAGCTGACAGGGGCCAGAGTCTGGGATCCAGCTTCTGGGGAGATCTGGTTTCCTGGTCACAGAGGAAGTGACTGAGGAGATCAGAGAGGACAGCTAGAGTCAGTGGGATTTGGTGGGTTTGAAGTTAGAAATTCAATAAACAGAAACATTTTTCTGGGGTTTTTCAGGCACACAGTCTTTCCTTTTCTTGGGGGTGGGCGTTCATGCTGTTTTTCATTTTCTTTCAGATGAACTCCAGGCAGATCTCAGCAAGTTCTGCTTTCCTGCCTGAATTTTGTATGTTTCTTTGTTAGCAGACATTCTAGTTCCTAGCTTCCCTATTTCTTGTGTTGTTTTTCAGATCATAGAAAAGCTGCCTATCTGTCTGGTACGTGACTCTCCAGGTATCTCTTGTTTCCTTATCCTACCTGCTGTCCCTTCTCCTTCTTTCTATCTAGGCAGACATGTGTGTCCCTGTCCATGGGAAGCTAATTGGAAGCTAGTGGAAGCCAGAACCCTGCTCCTTGAGTTTTCCTAGATTTTGGCCGCTATTTCCTACTTAGAGCTTGGAAACTTGAGTGTGATTGTGGACCCTTTTCTGTCATGTATTCTGCATCTCATTTCAACCTTGGCTTGCCCACATTATATTGTGCGGGAAGCCATCCGTGAATTATTAGAGGGTCTTCTTTAGTTTTGGCAGTCAGGAAGGTTTTAGGAATAACCTTGGAAACTATCTGTGGCTCTCCCATGCAATAGATTTCCCAAGACACATAACCTTTATCCACAACCTACTAGATAATCTCATAGTAGCTATGGAGGTGGGTGTAACCCGTTGGGAACTGGACAGCCCACCTATGACTTTTTTTGGTGAAGGACATTGTATGGAAGGCCTTTGATGTTCCCTGGTATAAAAAAAAGCAAGCATGGGCTCCATTTTGCAGGTTTAGAATAGAAGCTCGATCTGTATGATCAACTACCCTGTCCCACCCCTGCTTTCTAAAATATTTTCTGTGTCTGTGTTTTTTTTTCATCATTTTATTTTTCTTAGGTTTCATTTTTCAGCCAGCATATTCCACTGATGGGAACCACATTACCATCACCTGTGTGGATCTCATGTGAGAATATGAATTTTTAGCTTTCAGTGCATCTAGCTGTTGGTTTGTACTTAGAAGCTTAAAGGCAAATACTAAAAGTTTGTTAAATGATCTGTATAAGTAAACGGAGTCATTAAGTTTAGGAGTGTGACCTTGTATTCTTTTCCCAACAAATCACCATTGAGATATTATGTTTTCTCCAGCTCCCAAAGGTGCTAATCCAAGAAGGCTGCTCACTACAAGTGAGCATGTGGTGGAGTGAACCAAGTACTTCTTGAAATAGTGGTTCTTATACTCTAGAAAAGTTTCACCTGTGAAAAGTTGGGTTTTAAAAATTATTTTTATTTTTTAGTTGTAGTTGGACACAATACTTTTATTTTATTTATTTATTTTTATGTGGTACTGAGGATTGAACCCAGGGCCCCGCATGTGTGAGGTGAATGCTGAACCACTGAGCCACAATCCCAGCCCCCAAAGTTGGGCATTTTTACCAAAGAACTCACCTTACATTCCTGTCTTTAAATCATTCTTCATTTTTTGTAATTTCCCAAATGTTTTTTTATTTTTTTATTTTGTGGTGGTGAGCTGTGAATCTGGCGCCTCCTGCATGCTAGGCAAGCCCTCTACCACGGGCTACATTCTCACCCCTTTCCCAAATATATCTTTGCCAGAGAAGGCTTGGATATAATAATATCTCTGACAATTGTTGAGTAAATTATATTTTATCCTCTCAAATATTTACACACATAGTATAACTTTTATCCTTAGTGGCAAAACTGAATAAAGACAGATAGAATATGGACTTTAATGAGTTTTGAGACAGATGATTTTCTGACAGAGAGAAAGCAGTGGGACAGTGGCAGAAGTTGGCCTGTAAGCAGTCGTCTTGATCTGTGGTCCAGGGGATTTCCCACAATACCCTGCAGTCCCTGCATACTGCAAGAGGCCATTTCCTTTCTGGCTCTCTCCTCCTGTGGGTAGTCCCATCTTTAGAATAGAGGGGAGGCCAGGACAGGCACATTCATGCTGAGCAGGCTTGTTTTAGCTGTGGTCTCACCACTGTGTGTTCCCTTTCAGCCTGGCGGAAGGCCCCCCCTGTATGCAGGTACGTGACTCTGGTGTTTCATTGACCTTCCCTCCTCCAGGATCCTCCTCTGCCCTTCTGTATCAGTGGCCTCCACCCAGAATGGGATGGGTTTCCTGCTCTCTCTTCTCTAATTTGTTTCCCACCCCTCCCAGTGAACACTTTTAACTTCTCTTGGTTTTTTCTTTCATAATCATCACACATCAATCTGCCCCGTCTCCAAACTAACCAAAGCCAAGAAAAATAGTAAAGCAAAATTCTCCTAAAAAGAGAGAAAAATGATTATAACTTGTGCTGGAAGATCACAGGGACTTCTCCTTGGGTTTGGACCACAGAACTCACCTCACATTTCTCTATTTTAATCATGTTTCATTTATTTTATTTTATTTTTTAACTTTTAGGTAGACACAATATCTTAATTTTATTTTTATGTGGTGCTGAGGTTCAAACCCAGTGCCTCTCACATGCTAGGTGAGCACTGTACTTCTGAGACACACCTCAGTCATAAATAATTCTTCATTGTTGGTAATTTCCAAAATGTCTTTTTAAATTTTGATTTTAGTTTTTCATGTTCTGGAGCTGAGGAATGAACATATTCTAGGCCCACCATCTACTGCAGGCCAGTATTAGTTGCAGATCTTGAAAACATCAAGTTCAACTGGTATTTGTTGTTGGTGCAGTGACACTGGAGAGTTCAGTTGTGAGGAGAGCCTGGATGGAGCAGGGTTGGAACTGTGGATAGGAATTGCTGGTCTCCATGAAATTTCAGAAATCATATTTGACAGCTTAGGTATTACATCTTTCTAATGTGGGGCCTTGGTTCCGTATTCACTTTACCCCAGATTCATACTGTTTAGGTCCAGGTTTGATTTTCTTCTTTCTTCCTGTTCGTTTGGATATTGGTCTCCTCTCAGCCACCTCATGCTTTAACTTGCTGTCATAGCTGGGTTTCTTCTGAGCACCTTAATTATTGAGAAATTAGTTTTTGGTGTTCTGAGTTTGGGGTCCAGGATACTTAGGGGGTCTGGAACCATGTGAAAGTATATGCAATGTTCTGTGTTTGTGTTTCTGTTATAGGAACAAAATGAAATTAATAATGTTCACAAAAATTTCTCTTCTTTTAAAAGAATTGTGCTTTGCCTGTTGGGCTTGGTCTTGGATACACACACACACACACACACACACACACACAAACACGTACCTTTATTTTATTATATATTTGTTATATATTATATACATTATAATGTATAATGGGATATATAAATATTTTATATATATATATATTAATTCATGAAAATCATAAAAGAAAAAATCTGGATATGTTAAAATTATTTACCTGAGAAAGGTTGTGGAACAAGTGAGAGAAGAAAAGATGTTGTGGCAAGAGTGAGAAGGTGAAAGGGAAAGTAGAGTGCTCAAGATTCACGTAGAAATTTTAGGTGTGCTGAAGCAGTGAGAGAAGGAAAATCACATCCTAGGTGGTTTGAATTGAGTGTGAAGAGGATTTGCAGGTTATTTGTGTGCATGAAATATAACCAACTCCTTGACATATCTTTGAGAGTTTTCAGTGAATACATTGTTTGTGTGTGTGTGTGTGTGTGTGTGTGTGTGTGTGTGTGTGTGTATGTGTGTGTGTATGTGTGTGTGTGTGTGTGTTTATGTGATTTCTATTAAGCCATTTCCAAGTGATTATCTCATTGAGTTTTCCTGTAATAATGAGACCACTTCAACCTTCCAGAGCAGTTATGACGACAGGCATATGCTGAGGCAGTTTCCAATGCAATGAAAGATTATCCAGAAGACTTTAACTCTGGAGGTGAGTTTAGGACCTGTGCCATCTGAATTTGTCTAATATGCCCTTTCTTCTTTGGTTGTATCTTTTTTACATCAGGGATATAAACTGTGAGAGACAGAGAAGGGTGAGCCATGGCATCAAGGAGGCTTTGGGATCAGATGTATGAGGAACACTCTGAGAATCTTAATGATTTTTCTGGGGACATGTTTATTTAAAAAAGAAGAATCAAATAGTCTTTTTTTTTAAAACCATCTCCCCATTACCTGCTGAATTAGTGTCTATATGTTTTCATCTATAACTTGCATACTCTTTTATTTTATAAGGATAAACACCATTACTATACTAGAATCCACACTTTCATATTGACAGGTCCATAGTGTGAGGTGGACAAATGTCTGATCTCATATTGTTCATGAAATTGTAACAGTGAGTTACAAATTAAAATTTTCTGTGGGAATTATATGAAGAGTGCATTATAAGGCACACAGCATAGTACTTGATACACTGGGAAGTCTCAAAGTTTTTTTTTCTTTCACTCCTTCTCTTTTTCTCCCCTGTCTGCTTCCTTGACTTCCCTTTTCTTCTCCTTTGGTAATCTCAGTTATTATATATAAAATTATAATTGGATTCCTACTAATGTGTTGGTGAAAAATGAGCAAAACTTACTCTTCTCCAAAAATCATTTGGGTCTGCTCAGCCATTTAGTATTATCTAGTTTCTATCAAGCAACTCAACAAAGATGGAAATAGCAATGTATGTGATTTAACCTGGGTTAGTGGACATGGAGGGCACAAATTTAAACACTAATCTTTAAGAAAGAAAAGATCCTGTTCATTTATTATTTTCATCATTCTAATATTGTTCCTGAGGCTTTGGGATCTCTGCCCTGTTGGAGGCAAAAGTTTTTCAAATGAAGACATTTTGGAGTGTTATGACATATGTAGAATTTGCTTTGGTCAATGACCTTCCTATCTTCTTCCCAAAAGGGAGTATGGAAATTGGAAGAGACTTATATGGCCTTGGGACAGTGGGGGAAGAGGGACCATGTGTTTTCTCTTAGTTATTTCAGATCCTCATCATCGGGATGCTAGTGTGAACTGGTTCATAAAACCATTGGGTTGGTGTCTCCTGAGAAAAGGCAGGTCTCACCTCATTGCTTGGTCTCCTTTCTCCTGACCCTGAAGTAAAGTCCAAGGTCTGTGTCACTTATTCCTGGTTGCCATTAGGCTTTTTCCTATGACCTTCAGTCGTTTTCTGGTTCACTGACTCACTGGACACCTATATGTCTCTTCATTATGTAGCAGAGCATGTTATATATTTTCTGGGTCCTCAGCTTCCTGTGTGCAGGAAACAGTGAGTTTCATGTTTTCTGCAAGCACATTTCTCTGCCAGTACTTTGTTCCATGTCGGGTGTGTCACCTATGTAGGCATATTAGTTTTCTATTTGCTCCCAAATTAATACAAAATTAGTGACTTAAACCAACACAAATATATTATCTTACATGTGTGAGGTCAGAAGTCCAAGAAGGTGTGGACAAGGCTGTGTTTCTTTCTGGAGGCTGTTGTCTTGTGTGGTTTCTAGAGGCCATGTGTATTCTTTCATTTTCGCTCCCGTTCTTCCATCTTCAAAGCCAGCACCACAGCATGTTTATGACCTTGTTTCTGTGATTCTATCTGCTTCTCCAACACAGCCAAGAAAGGTCTGTTTTACAAGGGTTCATATGATTCATTTGGATAGATCCAGAGAATCCAGAATAATCTCCCCTTACTCAAGAACCTGAATCTTAATCACATTGGTAAAGTTGCCTATTCATGTATTTAACATATTCACACACTCTGGAGTGTAGGAGTATGGGTTCTATCATAGCTGGAAGCTTTAAAACTCTTCAGGCAAGTGTTATGGTAGGCAAATGATTAGGTCCAATATTTTTGGGTTCCCCCATATCTGTAAGGATGTTTTTCTCCTATTGGTCTGTGAGAAGTGGAAGAAGAGTCACTAGTGCTGACCTCTCACTGGATATGTTTGTTTCTTGTTTTGAACTTCTTTCTCTTCCATCTTAAAAAACCCTCTCCATTGCCACCTAAATGGGTAAGATTTCTCAGAGTTCCCTATACTCATGATTTCTAGTCATCCTCCAAATTCAGCTAAGCTAGATGTAATTCTCTACTCATGGCTTAGAACTAACCTTACAAGTTCAGCACAGTCAGTTCTTTATAAGTAAATGGAGGTCTTAGAAATTTTGATAACCTCAATTGTATCACAAGATAACCTAATTGTTAGAATGGTTGTGTGTCTGTGTCTTGAGAACATATTATTTGGTAGGTAAATCTGAACAGTGACCTTTCAGATTGACATCCAGCATTTTGATCCTGGGGTGTTAAACTTTTTGGCTTAGTCTTCATGGAAGGCTGCAGCAGGATGTGTGAGTGGCATGTGTGTGCATGCGCGCATGTGTGTGTGTGCGTGTGTGTATGTGTATGTGTATGTGTATGTTTGAGTGTAAGAAATAAATACAGCAGCTGAATGTTTTCACACAGATTTTGCCTTCTTCCTCCCACATTGCTATTTCAGAAAACTGCATGCTGACCCTGATGTGTAGAGACTCTGCAAATCCCTGATATGAGATCTGTGTTCTCTTGTAGATTGGCGGAAGGAACAATTCCAAGCCTGTGAGTGATTGTATGCTTCTAGATGTTCCTCCTGTTGCCCTCATGGCTTCTGGTGTCTCCTTAAATTATCTGTGGTGATTCAGATGCTGGTATCACCAATGGTGTTGCTGTGGCAGAAGTGATGGTCACAACACTGGTACTGGTTCTCAAGGGACCTTTCACAAGTCTAACCCCCAAATAAGCCTCTGACTCCTTCTCCTGGTTGAGGATGTGGGCTTGAGTTATAAAACTCATATCTCAGGAAGCTTATCCCCTCCTCAGCCCAGGTAGCAATGTGGCACTGAGGTGGTGGGTGGCTGTGTGCTTTGTCTTGAGGCAGGGGAGGACCTTGCATGTTTGAGAATTCTCTCAACAGGTTCTGTCACTCTGGATCCAGACTGTGCTCACCACAGGCTTTCTGTTTGTCATGAAAAGATGTGTCTGACCTGGAAGGACCCTGTGTGTACCGTGATGAAAAATGCAGTGTGTTGCATCTTGAGGGCATCACATCAGGAAGATGGTACTGGGAAGTGGAGATAGAGAATTGTTGCGACCCCCAGCCAGCAAAGGAAGACGCGACACAGGATTCTTCTTTCAGCAGTTTATTCAGGCCTTATCTCAGTCATGACTTCAAGCTTCTTCTCCCCCACCCGTGCCTCCCAGCCTTAATAAAGCACCCCGAGCCCCAATGCAAAGCTGCCACGTGGATCTTTCTCATAGGGTGTTATCTCAAAACACACCAACTCTCCCTAATAAGGAGTTGTTTATCACTGACCACAGTGGCAGCCAGCGCCATATTGTAATGGTGGCTATGGTCCGCAGAAACGGCTCACCACAGAGAATGAATTCTTAAGCAAGTGGACTCTGGGAGTCTGCAGGAAAGATGTGAGCAGAACAGGCTGGCACAAGGAAGTACCAGATGGGGGTTTGGGTCATGGGGAAGTTTAACAATAGATATTTTGCCTGGACTGGTCCTATGTTTTTGTAATCTCCTAGGCAGGATCTTTGCAGAATGGGGGTTTTCCTGGACTACAGTGAAAGGGGTGTCTCCTACTATAATATGATTGATGGTTCTCACATTTTCTCTTTCCCTCCAGCTTCCTTCTCTGGAAATCTCTTTCCATACTTCATGTTTATGTATGGACATGTGTCCATGACCATCTGCTCTATGCCAAGTGAGTCTGAGGGGTTCCCTCTACCCCTTCACAATTCACCTCTTTTGGAGGAGGTCCTGAGCACCCCAACAGAGAGGATCAGCTTGGGCTGTGGTGTTGATGGTGTTCCCCCAGCGGCTGAATGTCCATTACTTCCCTGACATTCCAAGGTTTTATCTTCATAGTGTCCCTTGCTGTCTATGATCCTTTACTGTGGCTGTTCCTTTGGCTACAGACTCCTTGTGGCAAAATCCCCTGAGATGATGCTTAGGAGGCTCAGTGGGCTTTTCCTCCTGTTCTTTTTTAAGACTTCAGATGTGTGAGAGTTCTGTTCATGTCTTATATTCATCTACCAGAAGATAAAAGTTGACTGTTTTGTAACTGGTTTAGGGAATATTGAATTTAACTATGAGGAGATATATATA